TGACCTGGTGACCTTGATGAGGTGTTTCACAGATTTCCTCGGTCCCTCTAGGCAAATGCTGGGATAGTGTCTTAAGTTAGGTTGTGACAACTTGTGTATCCCAATTCAAAATTCTAAATTGTCCTATCATTTACTGAAGTCCACCTATTAAAACTGCTGTCTGTATTCATGAAACAATATCAGATAAACCAATTTTCATTAAATTTTATATTGGAAAATTTCACAGAAAAAATTGTCAAGCCATTTCAATTTTCATTCAGATCAGATACTTTAAATTACCATTTCATTTTAGACCATGAATATTGTCTTTTGAGCTTATCTGATTAATTGTGAAAATAGTAGCATAAATTGATATTTTAGTTTACTTTGATAAACATGAAAGAAAGTTCTATAAGTGGGTTTTGTCTTCCTTCAATAAAAAATCACTACAGAATTATTTCCAAGATGACCTACAACATTAATACTTATTTAATATTTGTTTATTATAAGGGAAGAGTTCATTGTAGTCATAATTATTGAGTCTAGTGAAGAGCTTTACTTCTGTGGAACATCTCAAAGTGAACAAATCTTATGTCAATTCAAACAGCATAGATGTTATCATGTCATTTGTAATTCCTTGTGCTGAACCTGCCCCTTTTACAATCTTGTTTCAGTATTAGTGCTGAAGAAAAGGTGCCAATACGATATATTTTTAAGTACAGATATTTAAAATCACAAGGAATTAGTGGTATTAAAATGTACCGTAGAATTTGTTTTTTCGTTTAATCTGTTTTCCATTGCTATTTTGTCACAGTTGGCTACCCACCATATTAGAGAGTAGTAACCAAGGTTCAGGCATAGTTCCAACATCCAGCCATGTGTGCTACAATTATTTATGCCATGTCCATCTTATTATTTAATACTATGTTAAATGACATGTGAAGACAATAGGCCGTTGTCTCTTTAATTGACACAAGTACATTGACCTACCTTTTGTATAATCAATTAGCCTGTCAAAGCCCAGTGAGATACACACACACATAACACCACCTCTTTTAATCAGTGACTGGGTTTTGTATTAACAGGTTTCATATGATTCTTTGTGTAAACAGCACTTATTTCCTTAAACAGCATTAACCAACCAATTTTTGTAATGAAGTGTTGTTTTATTTGTGGTACAGAATGAATTCTTCAATATTTAAACAAGATTCAGAATCAAAGGGTTACAAGAATTATTCTTACATAAATAACATGCAGTTTGCAAAAGTAATAATTTATATCTTAATTGCGTCATGTTTGTGTTTTATTGATACAATATTTTTATTTTCTGTCTATACACAAACTTAAAATAATGTTGTTTAAAATTATCTAAAATTATAACATTCTCAGTAGACACTGCATCATGTTACATTTTTTGTATCGACGACATGTTTCAATGTGTATTACATCATCATCAGTCCATCAATTTTAATACATTTTAAAAACTGTAGTACATTTTGCGTTGCGTTTATTGATTATTTTAATTTGTTTAATTTTAAGTTTTTTGTCTCTTCCTTATGGTTTGGAGGTTGTACTTGGATGTTTTATATCGGGTTGTAATTGATGTGTTGTGTGTCCGATATTTAGAGACGGTATTGTATCAAAAGTAATAATATTTTAATAGGAGCAATGGATAATCAACAAAAGTGTGTTGTGAATTTGAAGAAAACTTTACATCTTCTTGTTGTGAAGGAAGAACACGACAGAATGAAAACTAACGGAGTCCAAGTGACATACTGGATGACAAAATATATACAAACATAATGAAGTCATCATTTAATGTTTTTCTGGGGGGATGATGGGTTTTAACATTAAACTGAGATCAATCTTAATATTGAGACTGGAACCATATGAAAATTATCTGCTAAAGTAAGCAAATTCAACAGGGATATTGGGGCTGGGACAATAGAAAATTAATATTAATTAAAAGTAAACATCAAATAGGGACTTTTTTTTAACAGTAACATGACTGGGTCCAGGCCCACAGAAATTGAACACTAGATTCGGGATGAGCTTAAATTGAGAAACAATATGGAAAAAATAATACAAAGTTAAACAGGAGATGATAATGTTGCGTCATACTGTGATAAATATATATTTGTTTAAATCTTGTCAGTCTGATCACAATAAAATTCCTATTAAATATTAAAATATTTCGATAGAGAACATCATTTTAATATATTTTAAATATTTAAATGTTAATTATAGTAATATTTTAATATTTAATAGGAATTTTATTGTGATCAGACTGACAAGATTTAAAAAAAAAAAGTTAAACAGATTAAATTATACTATTCAAAGAAACACTAGTAGGAAATAAAGAAATGAGATTTAATTAAAAATTCACAAATAGTGAAAGACTGGTACTAGTTGTGTGTGTTAAGAAACAAGACTTGAAGCAGATGAGGCACTTTTGGGATCAGAAATCAAGATATTTGGAATACACTGTATGTAAAAATAATGCAGGAGAGGTAAAGATTGTAAAAGTAAATGGAGGCACCACCTAAATAAACTGAATGAAAGTTATATACAACTACACACCACAAGGAAGACACTATATAGGTCATCCAAGAAAATAATCTATTTAGAATTCAGAATGGCAGTAATCAAACCTTAAACCCACAACTAACTTTTTCTACAGAAAAACTGTTCTTTTTTAAACTAAATAAAGTTAATTACGTATGTAAGCTGTGAGGGTACAAGGGATACATTTTTAACCTTGGCACCAGATGCAGTTGAGTGGTCACCTTTGTGCTCTGATTACTCCTGGAATCTGTTAGATGGGATGCAGAGTAAATACTAGCATCATTCTAAATACAGTGGTGAAGAGAACAGTTCAAATCAAATTCTGACTGCAGTCTGTGATCTGTTATTTGATGTACTGAGCTAGAGATACTCCTAGACATTCCTTGCATTCACTCAAAATTAAAGAATAAAACGACAGAAGGCGGGAAAAGTATGTGGGGGTGGGGATTTTTAGGGTATGGAAACCCATTGGAAAACTGAAACAATGCACGATATTAAAAATTTTTATTAAGGAAACAGGTTGCAAAGATGTGAGGCTGCAGCCTGCACCAATCACATATACTGTGGCTTGGAAGGAAGTAATGGAGGGGGTGGGGGTAATGAATGAAGAATGTTTTTTCATGCAAAGAATCAAGTACTTATGAATACATTTGTCTGTGATGCCAGAGTGAAACCACAAGAACTTCAGTCGGGAAATTGAATGTCGTGGTTGAGTGGTTAGCACTTCATATTCAGGAGGTTCAAATCTCGACCCAGAGACCGGCTACCCTAACAGATTTGTCATGGTTTTCCTCAGTCCTTTTTGGTAAATGCCAGATAGTATCTTAAATTAGGCCACGACTGCTTCCTTCCACATCCTTTCCAATTCATTACTCACTGTCATCCTCATTCGACGCTATACAGTCTGAGCTACTGAAAAAGCATTGTTAAATAAACTATAAACAGATAAACATTAAACCAGAATAGATTGTTTCCAGTCAGACATCACAACTATAATTTGTTAATTCTGTCATGGAACCTGTCTCATCAAACACATTTCAGCTGATATGTTGTCCGTTCTGTTAACGCAAATTCAACATCTAATCGATTCATTCAACAATATCAGTGTTAATTATTTCAGGAAGATGCTACGTGATAAGTGGCCAATTCTCATAGCTGCATACTTAACAGCAGTGTCAGCCACTGAGGAAACATCTGCAGAACTACAGAATGTCAGTCCTTTGCAGACACTTGGTTTGGGTCTGAGAGACCTGGTACTGAGGACTTTTACTCTGTGTGGCACCAAGCTTCTAGGACTGCGGAGGGACACAAGTGAGACCAGCCAAGTTCGCAACACACTCTGTACGTTCCTGCTTAAACCCCACTTGGAAATGGGCAGAGGCCACTATGGAGCACCTGCATACAACACGTATGTGTAAGTTTTTTACTTTTATGCATGAAAATTGTTTGCTCCTTCTCAGCCTAATTTATTTAAAGGTATAAGATAACATCATTTACTTTTCAGGGCTGGGTTTATCAGCCTTGTTAGCTGGGAGAAAAAACAGCATAAGTCACCAGTTACCAGAAAGAATTAGCAGAATCTCACAGACCAACAGACATAGTTATATCACCCCCCCCCCAAAAAAAAAAAAAGTTGGCAAGTTAGGCTATGTATTTTAGAATCTAAAATTTGCAAATAATGCATATGAAAACTGTATGTATTCCAATATGGAGTACATATTTGCAGTTCTGACTACTTTTAGTTAATGTATGGTCCTGAAACTTTGTGTGGTAACAGATCTCTGTAAAACATGCAAATTTTTGTTGTGGCATATTTTTGGAAAATGTAAAACAATAACATGGTGTCACTGGCATTCTGCACAAAGTTTTCTGTTTCACGGTGATAACCAATGAACTGCTGGAACTAGCGACATTCATTTCACACATAACATTTACTGTTACTCTGAACACAGAATTATTTTGTTTTGTATGCTGTATATATGAATCACCATAACAATAATGCAATACTTTTGTATTTTTTTTCCAGATCTGGATTTGACCCTTTAACCCTCCTTGCTGGTCTTGCATTCTTAGCCTTCTTACTGCAAACCCTCCATGCACTGTTGTACCGACAAACGACGAGCGTCTCTTCAGTTGGTCTCTCCCGCAAGATCTCTGATTCATCTGAGCTAGAGCACTCGGTCAAAACTGCACTTGATAAATATGTAAATATTTTGAATATTTTATTATATGCAGATTACGCATAATTATATAAATGAGCTCAGAGATCAGTATGTGACCTTAATAAAAACAAGTTATAATTCTACATCTGAGAACAACATAAACAGTGATGAAAGACTTGGGTTACAAACCCCATAAGGTGACTGAATGGTGAATAAACTATGCCTTCCGCCAACGTTTCGAGAACGATCAAGTTATTACATATACAGTATATTCTGACTTTATTGCCGATTTTTGTTTCGTGTATTTAATTTACTTTTTACTTCTGATTTTCTAGAGTGGGGAGGAGGGCTAGTTTTACTCATTTAAAAGCCAATTTACTTTGGATGGATTCGTTCCTTACCTTTGTATCTGATTTCAGGAAATGTTGAATTCTCAAGGAAGAATGTCAGATAACACACCATGGCAATGGCCTTCACTTCCCATACTCATGAGGAATCTAATATCCAATTACTGGGGACTGCGAGATAATTTGCCATGCTTTCAGAATCCACTGTGTCACCAACTGCAACCAAAAAGTTGAACACTTGCATCATGTAGGAGCGGAAGGAACAATTCAGTATTTTTAAGTCCAAGATTTAATCCAGTACTAATAACTCTTTTATCACTGTTACACGCAGAAAAGTTATATTTATGTATGGAACGTTTCTGCCAAATACCAATAATTTACTGTTTTGATAAATTCTATAGCAATAAAAGGAACAAATCTAAGTTTATAAATATATTTATATGTTTGGAAGTGAAATATATTAATGTTCAAATTCTAACAGTCTCGTAAATAAGCCATTTGTATAATTACGACCACAATAAGAAAGAAGTGCTTACATACCTCTTCTCTGGCCGACACAGACTTCTCTTAATGTCCATTCTTCAAATGCACACTGTCCAGTTTTAAGGAAATAGATCATGAATATGGGTAGATATGGGAATGGAAGCAGGTGACTATAGTTACTTCAATATACCAAACTGGCATTGATATAGTCGGTAACCCATCTCAGATTTGAACTGGGTACCTCTGAATAAATGTCGTGTATTACCTGTACACCTTCCTGCTCAATTCCTGTCCTGAATAATGGCTAAAAAACTAAGTACAACTGTTGGATCTTGAACATAAAGGACAGTTCTATGTGGAGGTGCTGGCAGGTCGGTAATTTTGGGATAACGTGTTCATAAAACAATTCTTCTTGTAAAACAGTTATCACTGTTAGATCCTGCAGAGCTGTCTTGTATCTTGATCCATGAAGATCACTTCATATTCTTAATTATTTCTCAAGCATGCACATTATGTAATTGAAAACTGGATGTTTGCCTCTCCAGACGATTATCAAGTCATCTCTTGTCACATAACAAACATAACCCTGTTTTAGTTAACTGTTTGGTGATAGCAGGACTACGGCATTTCCTTCCTGTCTGTCTTGCAGCTACTGATTTTCCTTTCTGTCAAATAAATGAGGAATTACCTTTGAATAACCCCAAGGTCACTGGGTACAGAACATAATAGCGACCTTCCACAATTACATTTGAAATATGACCAAAGACAATCAGATTATGATCAATGACCTTGAACACAGAAGCAATGACCTATATATATATGTTACCCGATCAAAAATGCCAACAGAACTTTTCTGTTATTGTATTGTATTTCTCACAAAATAATAATTAAATCAGCGTGACTTAATGAGCACATGCAAGTAGAATTGTCCTTAAAATCATGTGAGGAAATTCTTAAGAACAAACTGAGATTTCTATGGATCTGAATGTTGTTTATGAATGTTTTCAACAGCACTTAAATTTAAGGCTGAGCATTAAACTCATTTAAACTGAAATAAAGAAATCTCTTGTACCCTTTTTTAAAAAAAGTTTGAAACATAAGTTACTGATAAAAAAGATTTTCTGGGGAAGGTGGGAGAGGAAGAATTTTGGAGGGGGAAAAGAGAAAAAAAATTCCCATGTATAACTAATCTATTAAATACATCAAACCTATATAAAATGTAAATGTCTTAGAAGGAAGAGGATCTCATTATAAAAAAATGATTCATTTCTTTGATTCACATTCATGCTATTAGTAGACGCACATAAGTTACTGATCTTATATTATATAAGTACCTTAATCTTTATCCCTCTAATACAGTATTCCGCAACCTTTTCCCACTGCAGCATGCAGTAAAATGTTAAAGACACATGATGCTACACCACAAAATTTTGCCTCATGAAAAGAAGGTGCAAAACTCATGGCCTTGAGCATGTCTCTTATAAATCTTTGCCATATAAGAATGCACACACATGAAACCAAAACATAACAGACGAACAAAACTTATCAATGAGCCAGTATGCGTGTTCTATGAATTCTGATTAGGAAAGTTATGATTTGTATTTTTTGAACTATAACGTGGAACTACACAATTTCTTATAAAAAATCTGCAGCACACCTCAAACCTTGTGGTGACATATCAGTTTTGGAACACTGTAATGCCACGTGAACTGTGATATTAGGATTAGTTCATAAAGTTTCAACACTGATTTCACAAGTGTCTCCCTCATATTATAATGCAGAGGACAGAAACAATGGCTTAAGTAATCAACATCTTTCTGCTGTCTGTTGAATTGGGTATCAATACTTTTTATGATATGCGCATGAATGAAAATGAAGAAAGGATAAAAAATACATTTACAAAAATAATTTAGAGCTAAGGATAAAGATACGTCCAATTTTATATTAGGGATAAAGGTTAATCTGAACTTGTATTATTAAAATAAAAAATCTAAGCAATAAACATGTCTTGCACTGCAATATCAATAGCAATATCTATATTATGATTTTAATCAAGTAATTATAGTTTTTCAAATAAAGATCTAAATATACAATATGTCACTTAAATGTCAAAATACAAAAATTATACTTAAGTAGAGAAGACTCTTTATGGCTCTCTTATCATAAGACGCACAATCTCTAAAAAGACAAAATTCTTGTTTTCATGTCATTAACAAATACTATTAACTATGACCTGGTCTATGGAGTTCATATTCAGGAAGATATATATTGTTCTCAGTACTGCACTTCAGTACAGCCACTGCAAAATTTTGTAGTACATCTTTGCCTTCAATTACATGAGTATCAATTGGCAATGTATGGGTGAGCTCTATTCAGCTGATTCCTTTGCTTCATATAAGCCACTTTTCCCGACACTGAAAAACAAGAGGGAGGAAATATTAAATGCATGCAAATGTCGCACATGTGAACTGAGCTACTCCTGGAGAAATAGGTTAATCATGTTCACTCCCAAGAACCTTCAGTCATTACATTTTTATATTTGACTATTAAATCTACAATTTCATTTATCTCACCCTAAGGAAATAACATAGATTGAAAGTGTTTAATAACAAGACACTGAGGAGAATGTTTTGACCCAAGGGAGAGGAGGAAACTGCATAATCAGGAACGTCATTAATTAAAATTCTTTGCCAAATACTATTAGGGCTGTAAAACCAAGGACCAAAAGATGGGAAGGACATGGGAGAGACGTAAAACGCATAAAAAACTTTGACTGACAAAGCTGAAAGGAGATCCATGCATAAATTTAATGAGAACATTGAAATGGACCTTAAAAGAAACATGGCATGGACCAGTTTCAACTGCCTTAGAATAGGGTCCACAGACAGCCTGCTGTGAATGCAGTGCTCAACGTTTGGTTGTTCTGTGAAAGACGAGGAATTTATTGACTAGCTAAATGACTATTAGCTTATCAAGAAAGATTCTGATTCATGAATGTTCACTCCTTACGCTAAGAAACTTTAATTGTAATATGACACATTCTATATAACTGTGAAATCTATTTCTCTTGAATATGTGTAAAATATAACAAATTATGTATTTCCAAATATATATATATATATCTGAAAGTGTCCTGGGCATTAAATAGTTTTGACAGTCCCGAGTATATGCAGAACCATTATTACACAAAAGCAGAATGAATTCTAACACAAGAGTTAAATTAAGAACATTACTGAAGCAAATCAGACTCCTACTTTGATTACATCAGAACACAATGAACTTGTCTGGAGGCAATACATGAAACTGTATGCAATAAGATTTTAGGATATAAGACACCTGTAACCTGTTAACAGTGTTCAGAAAAATAAATTATCTTCCCTCGAATCAGTGACGTAAGATTCAATCAGCAATACATATTATAACTGTTGTGCAAGGATTCTATTTCTTATGAGATGTAAATTCTCTGGTATATTAAAAAAAAACAAAGAACTGATTAACATGTACCTTGGTTGGTCACAGGTCTGCAATGTTTAGAAATAGGTGTCAGTTTGGGCGTGGAAGGTTTAGATGTCCGTAGCTGTGGCAATACAGGAACCGTAAATGTGTGGTCTTTACCACTGTCATGGCCAGCCCCTCGGTAAACTGCCGACTGTTTCGCCTTCATGCCTGCAACTCTGTTCTCTTTATTGCACAGTCTGCGTTTAAGATCAGTGGAGCCATTTCTTTTCTTGCTACTGTCCAGTACATTAACTGCACAACAAAAGAAAAATTAAACTTGTAATCTCATACATGCAATTATATGAAATGTACACATTCATTACATCATATTTTATCTTGAGTAAATAAGTCCAAAGGGGGACAATAACGCTGTATAACAAAAAGAGCACAACCAATCTGCAAGTACATTTCATTTGACGATATATAACATCAGCACCTGATAAACAAACATGATAGAGCTAATCTCTATCTCCAGAGATAGGGATTAGCTCTATCGATTGGGCCCAAAACAGAGTAGGTTACCCGAAGACAGAGATAGAGTCCCATCTCTGAAACGTCATCCAATTTTATTAGACGATGGATAACATCCAAAAAACTTTTTATTTAAATAACTCGCCATCGTCACAAACTTTTAGATTTGTAAAAATGATTCGTCTCTTACACAATATACACTATATTTTTACTGTTCAACAGATTTTCAATAACAAAATTTATTATGCATGGTTTCTACAACTTTCATTAGTTTTACTAATTAAACAAACATTAAGAGCAATGAGAATGCAATATTGTAAATAAGGCATTTGAAAAACGTGTGCTCAGCTTATTGTCAAGAAGCAGTGCAGACAGGGGTTCTGTAGGGTTATAACACTGAAAATACGAGGCGCGTCCCAAAAGTAAGTTTCCCACTCGTCCCACAGCTAGCAAACCTTATATTCCGCGAAGCGACTGTGCGTACGTGATAGAGCAATGACGTAGCATGGCTCATGCACTAACGGCACTTCCCGCGTTCTCACAGTAGCATCGTTGCAGCTGTTGAAGATGGAGGTTCTTATTCCAGCTCCCGCCGACTGTGAAGTGCGGTCAGTGATAACGCTAGGCCGCACACGGCTCGACGGACAGCAAGTCTCCTGCAGGAGTTCAGCTGGGAGGTGTTTAATCATCCACCCTACAGCCCGGACCTCGCTCCCAGTGATTTCCATCTTTTCCTACACCTCAAGAAATTCCTGTCCGGTCAGCGTCAGCGTTTTGAGAATGACAGAGAGGCGGAGATGGCTGTCACACAGTGGTTCCAATCCCAGGCGGCAGACTTCTACGACACAGGTATTAAAAGTTGGTCCCACGGTATGACAAATGTCTCAATTCCGGTGGCGAATATGTTGAAAAATAGCTAGACACTTGCTGTATCTGTTAAACCAATTCTATCTATACTTCAACAAATTTCTCCTTTTATCTATTACCTGTGATCTGTTTTTTTGATTGAGTGCTGTTCCCCTCTGCCAGTTTCCTAGGAGATTTCACTTGAACGTGTGATGGTGAGGATTTAGGCAACAGGAAGGTGCTATTTAATAACGAGCAATTAGTACTGCAGCCATTTTGCACAGCAGTGTCACAGTGAACTTTTAAAGGTGTTACAGAACACTCTGCAACAACGTCTCGCATAGAGTCCACCGGCAAATTAATCTCCTTCAGAATCCCACAACATTCCATAGTTTTATCTCTCACTTTTTGAATTTCTGACTCTTCAGTATTTTCTGAAAGACTTGTTTGACTGACTGGAAGCTGATGACCGTCTTCGTTGACAGTTTCTAATATCACACGTGAGTTACTTTTAACATCTCTCTTGCCTTCTGCTCCAGCTTCTGTCTCATTTGCTGATAGCGATACTCCCAGAGAGGTACTTCTTAGCGCATCTGAACGTTCACCACACTGCCCATTATCGCCAGCTTCTGACTCACTTTCAGACAGTTCATTATCAGGGAGGGCAGTTAACACAGTGCTTAAAGAAAGACCATCCTGACCAGTGCAGTCAGTCACTGATCCAGTTACAGTAATATTTGCCGGTGGTTTATTGGCGGTCTCAACTCTGATAATACCCTCTGAACACAAATTTTCCCTTAACATTTCTGCAAAACTAAATGTGAAATTAGAATTAACATTAGTTTCTTGATCTTTCTTCCATGATATGTGCTTGAATCCTTCCAATTTGTGAACCAATTCCTGTGGAAAAGCACAAAAACATGTCAACATTTCATATAAAATAAAATAAATTATTTGAATAAAAATTTTCTTGGATCATATAAAATAAAATCAATTATTTGAATAAAAATTTTCTTAGATATTATCCATCGTCTAGTAAAATATAAAACGTAAAACGACGTTTCGGAGATGAGGCTCTATCTCCGTCTTCAGGTTCCTACTCAGTTGGGCCCAATAGATAGAGCTAACCCCTATCTCCAGAGAGGAACCTGAAGACGGAGATAGAGCCCCATCTCCGAAACGTCGTTTTACGTTTTATATTTTACTAGACAATGGATAATATTCAAGAAAATTTTTATTCAAAAGACTCTTCACCATCGTCAAGAAGTTTTAGAACCAAAAATCAATTATGAAAAACACGAAAAATACACAATGGAGATTACTATTACGGTAGTGGGAGCGATTTAACAATCCTGATCCCACCTGTGTGTCATGTAGCAAGCCCCAGCTAAGGTGGAAAAATGTAGGGCTGTTATCAGCTCTTTGTTTTCACTCCAAATTTCAAAACATGAAGTCAGAGTACATACCAGTATGTCTAGCAGGGGGAAAAGTCATCAATGCTTGCAAATAAAAAAATACAATTAGCAACATACTCAGCAAACACATGACTGTCAGACAGCCCCGAGAGCTTATCAAACGGATCATCTGTGGCAGAACTGCTATACTAATTATAAGCGATTTCAAACCTACAAAATACATACGTTGCTCCTAAAATCAAACAGCAAACATTTGCAATTATCCGAACGCAGTCAGAGAAAATGTTGGAGTTTATATGAGAATTAATAATTATTCTGTAACATTTAACCCTTCTGCTGTACATTATTTCCTTACTGCTTTACTAGAAGAATATATTTTTAAGGTAAAAATCTGAACACTTTATATAGGTTAGATTATTGTGTATGCATACAAATAAATATGACAAAAATTACCAATAAACCTATCAAATACTCCAAGTTATATTAACAAAAAATCTTACATCATAATGTGACGCCATTTCTTCAGTTGTTATGTTGTTTCCCTGCAGGAGGAAGTGGTACTGCTTCAGAGTATTGCACATCTCTTTGACTATCAAATCCTCACTCTGCAGCTCATTCTGCTGCATGGAGAGCAGCTGCTGATAGTGTCCTAGCTGCACGTCCTTCTCATGCAGCTCCAACTAAACAGACGATAAAAAAAACGCATTATTTTGTAAATACAGGATCAACTGCAGAAAAATATCTGATGGACATAAAACTTGAGGTGTTTGACTACATTTCTATGTTCTGAAATTATATGTTTCTCCTATCAGTTCACCAATATCTCGCCCGCAAGTTGTAAAGCTACTTTTGAAACACGCTGTACTACTAAACAGCATGTCCATCTCATTCCAGGTTGAGGCCTTCCACCATTTATTCTCCGTATCTCATATTAAACGAGCTGGGAAGCGTGCACATACCATAATTATTGTGCCACTTGTGGATAGATGAATACAAAAAGCAAGGCTAACCGGTACAAATTTGTAAATTTTAATTGAGAAGCTAAACAAACTAAAACCTACCTGTAGATGCAATATAGCAATATGTTGATTTAGCTCAGTGTTGGTGCCGTCTTGATCCAGTGTTTTTATCAACGAGTTAATTCTTTCAAAATGATCATTCCTCCTGATAATGGTTTCCCTTAATTTCTGCTTGAAACTTGATTCTCGGCCTTGCAGTTGCCTCATGGACGTTTTAATCCGATTAAGACGCTAAAATGAAATAAATCAGATACCGAGTTCAAACCTAAAGCAAACGAAATTAGTTAACACCACAAATCCATTTTGTTACGGACACAGTTCAACAAACCACATTTACCCAACTATAAGACAACCTCTCTTCCTAGTAGTAAATTTTAAACGCAATTTTAATGTTTAATCCCAGTATAATTAGTAATTTATAGTGTTCTTTTACAGTCACATATTTGACTCAGAAATGATTTTATTTACCTGATGTCACACAATTATTAGTCTATACTTTGTCGTTGATAACCACGAATTAAAACCGGCCTCCACATGCTGTCCCACAATCATACCTTGTGATTTATTAAACTCTTATAAATAATAAAAGTACCATAAACCAGGGTTACAGAAATTTAATTTAAATCTACTAGCCACTCACCCATAATCAAGAAATATACTTAAGACAAATATATTTATGTGCAACTAATTTGTTAATTAGTCAGCAACCATATTCCCATTTCAATTTAGACTAACGCTGACCAATCAGTTCTGTGGGCACTGGAACTATGCCAGTATACGTGATGTTTAAAGGCACATAGTCTTAGAATCCCCACTTGACATTACACTGAGCCTGTTCACATTCTAGTTGCTTATAAATCATTTTAATATTATCCCCCCATGTCCTCATTCTTGCCAGTGGATAAGTTTCCCCATCAAAATGTTTAATGAAATTCTTGTTATCTCTTTCTAATATAACCTCTCTGAATACTGTAGAAATAATGGGAAAAATTGAATTACACAAAGTTCCCTTTTATGCAATATCATCGTTGTTGCACGTCTAACTAGATTACCTTGTCCAGCTGAATATTATTAATGGAGAGGCAAGGCAACCTGTCTGCTATTTTCTGTTTCACATGGTTTCTCCAATTCAGCAGTTTTATTTCTTTCACTAATTTTGAAATCTCTGTGTTCATTGCTTCCAGTTCTTGATATGGAGCAGACAATTTCTCTTTGTGGTTGGATTGCACAGTGGACATTGTCGTGCTTTTCTGACAAGCATTCTGTGCTTCGTACGTTCTTAGCTTCAGTTTCAGCTCTTCATTTTCAGCAGTCAATGACTCCACCACTTTCGAATACTGTGCAGCATTCAGCTGAACAGAAACAATGTTCTTCTTTATCTGGAAAAGAATGACATACTTTACAACCAGACACATAATAATCAACGAATATAAATACTGAACGACGTAAGCTAATGCGCTACAAATAACCAAATAAAACTGAAGTCTGTCCATGTTGTTCTTCTGGGTTATGTTGTGTGGATCTGTAAGCAGATACCAATGTTTCAGAGGAACAATACGGTTTCCATCTTCAACATGATATCTCGACTACTGTAAGATCCTTACCCGGTGTCCTACGTGAGAGATTAAATGCGAGCGGTGCGAGTTGCGTGGGTGAAGCGGAAATATCAAACTGGCTGTCTGTGTGGCGCTGTCCTAGGTTCCGACGAAGCGGCCAGGAGAGGGAAGCGGCCGAAGCCCGAGATCAAATATTTTGATCTTTTCGTGCGAGTCGCTGCGCTGGCCAGTAAGGCGCATGCGCAACAAAGCTCTGACCGTGCAGTACACGGAAGGTGCGTGCGCAGGAAGGCCGTGTGCTTCTATTGAACTCTCACGTAGGACACAACAGGCGATTCCCTCGCTTCATATGACACCCCATGCTGCTTATGCAGCTCGCATAGCTTGCTTGTTATCGCTTACGTAGGACATTGCCTTATACCTCAGTAGATAACACAACTAAATGCTAGCAACTAAGAAATACACAGAACAAGACTTGAGATTCTAACAATTACCATCTGTTTGATCTTCTTTGCGCGTGTAGCATACTTGAGGGTGTTGTATGTGTCTTCATAGGAATTGCTTGAAGGAGATACATTTGCAATCATCACTGTCTGACAATTGCCTCCCAGAGAGTCTTTAAGTAGCCTCGTGAGCTTAGAATCACGATATGGAATATGTTTCAGACCACCAGCCAAGCTGTTAATACAATTTCCTACAAAGAAATTTAGTAAAACACATTAAGAGAAACATACTGTATGAGCAGAGAGAATAAAATCATCTACTCAGAATTAAAATGTATCATATAATTCACGCTATCAAAATGTTTCTGATAAAGGACAAGAGTGGTAAGGTGTGCTTGAAACTGATGTAAAAAATATTTGCCAAATGAATGGGAGAATTATTTCTTCTTCACATCTGTAAATGTGTATATGTTGTAGAGCATAAACCATGTTGGGTGCGTGACATCAGCCATCCTCCAGCTGTATCAACTATCTCTGAAAATGGCTTCAAAAAGGCAGAAGAAATGGTACAGTCTAAAGCATTTACTTATAATCCGTGGCGTAACAGCCCTCTGAGAGCCAAAGCCGACTATCTGGCTGCTGGCCTCACGTTCACATGCCCAAGCAGAGGTGAACGATCACCCAACCAGATATAGGGTGACGTGTGGTCAGCAAGACGAACCCCCAGCCATTGCTAGTTCTCATCGTAGCTCCCCAATTTCCTCATGATGCTGGGTTGGCACTGGTCCCATACACCGGTCAAAATCTCATGAGAAATTTCTTTCCCTGAGACTCGAACCAGCGCGCATTCCGTATCACCGGTCCGAAGCACGATGCCTCAGACCGCGCAGGACAAAAGTATCTGTTGTGTTTCCATCAGTGTTATGAGTGAGTTCAGTGATTGATTTCTGACATTTTAGTGTTTATGAATCACACATTTAATCTTTCATTACTTGGCAATGCTGTGTACCAACAGAAAAATTTGATTTGCAGTACAGTATGTTTGTGATCAAGTACTGTCAACATAGCATCCACTAACTGACAATCGGTGGTTCAAATCTGTTCAAGCTCAGCTTAAATTAAAATTACGGAGTTTCAACACCACTATAAGAAACGTAAGTTAAGATTTTATAGTATTTAATATGTCAACGTACCCAAAGCAAGCAGCGACTTGTTGATATTGGATCCTTCGGTAAAGCGCATGCCCTTGCAACCAGTAGCAGATCCCCTTTCAGACCCAGCAAGATCAATCATCGATAGCTTCATGATCTTCAGATTCCTATCCAGTTTATTGGTCATTCGAATATACAACTGGAAGACTGAATGTGAGCGTGATGATTCAGCGTTAGAATCTGTCGGGTGCTGAGTCCTGTTCTTATTTCCTTTTGCCATTAAAGCAAAGAGTTCATCAGCATTTGTGATGCGATGAAGAGAAAGGCCAGGAATCCGAACACCGTAATTACTGTCCTCTCGCAGATGAAGGGGACCGGACGGCTGAATCAAGTCTTGTACATTTTCATTATACACCTGATCAATAACAAGAATAAGATTAAAAGAGGCCAGACGAATAAGCGAAGGTAAAGTTGCCCTGTATGTAAGTACTACACAATAAAGGCATATCAAGATAAAGCTCTACAAAATTTAAACCAGCTGTTCTTCTCCTGGGGGTAATTTGGCAAAAACTCAGGAAGTAATGAGCTGATCAAAATTCAAAAAATATTTTATTACTGTTCCTTCTGAGATGATGTAGTATGAATCATGCAGAAACAGTGCACGTACGTATAGCAGGAGCACAAACTGGTCTGACTTGCACAGAAATGTTCAAACCTGTTACCGATCACCTACTACCAAACAGATGGCAAAACCACTGAAGCCTCGGTATTAAAAAATGGCAGTTAATGGTTAAATTAAATGCATTCGGTACTCGAAATGTCAACTTTTATTAATACCTAAATGAATTTAGGGATTCCATTTGTCCAGTTTTTTCACAGACAAATGAAGCTGTTCTTGAAGCATTTTATCAAAATGGTCTCTGAATTGCCGAATTTAAGAAACCTCGTACAAACAGAGACAATCTGATCAAACCATGTCTGGCTGAAACAGTGAGGCTTGTTCTAGGGGAACAACATGGATGAGATATCACTTTCATATTGCACCATGACGGTGAATTTGTTTCAGAAGAGAATGCATTTTCAATCAAGTCATTGCAGGAATAAAATCTAGTCGCAACATTGCCCTTCACTTGGGGGGGGGGGGATTAACACCCTCCGACAAACAATTATTTGTGTGTGCTCAGTACTTGACACTGAAGAATTTCTTCAACAAGAGGTTAATAGACAAAACTAGTCGGTGTGTGCAGTGAAAGCAGATTTTAAGGATTCTGATGCCATTTCCCAGCTCACGCACAGGTCACTCCGATATCAATGCCGTCATTCCGAAAGATCAGTGGTCAAATTCTGTCCAATTGTTATGCTACGTGTATACTTCCTAACTTGTTAACTTTGGCATTACATGGAGATAAGTGATATATCCAGCACTGTTTGGATAGGAGTCTAGGTCGGTCCCAGTCATTTTGAACATGGAACTGGAAGGAAAAAAATCTCTACTCTTACTATTCATCATTTTACAAACCATAAAATAGAGCCCAATGAATTTACTTAGAATGCTAAAATAATGTAAAGTGACTCACCTCTAGATGAGAAACTCCCAGATTAAACTCCTTCTCACTGGAAAGTATTTCCATTTGTTTGTATAATTCCACTATTGTGAGGTACGTTATTCCTGGAACTGTATTGCTTCCCAACATGGTGTATGTTTTTCCAGCTCCAGTGGCTCCATAAGCAAACACTAAACATTGAATTCAGGTCATACGTATGCCTTGCGTGATAAAAAATGCACTTAAGAAATTACGATACATTAGTGAGCATAACCTAAGTTATTTTCTGGCAGTATAAAGGGGCATACTGAATCCAGAAAAGCTATGAATTTTAACAAAAATATGTAGCGACTGGGCATTTGAGTCAAAACAGTAATGAATTTTCTATGCCAAAGGTTTTTACATGGTTACCGGAGTGCATAACCTAAATTTGTGTGAATTTGTTCAATGAATTCTAATTGTTTACCTCAATCTGCTTCCTTCACTTAACATAACTTGAATTCATCATCAACCGCAACAAGACACAAGCAGAGAAAACAAAGAATGTGCTACGGCTTCATGTACATCTTTTTACCACACACACACGCAAACAAAGCTTCAAAGCGTTCAGAAAAGACCCTACAACCTTTTTTAATCACTGAATTGCAAATACAATCTTTGGAGACTAAAACTATTGTTATCAGAATGAAAAAATATGGTAAAAGAACATATAAAACAGAAATAAACACAAGAATCTGGAAATACTCACCTGAGCAATTAAAACCATCCAACAAAGACTTGACTATATCCTTAGTACTGACTTCAAATACGGCTTCATTCGAAGAGTTACAGCCAAACACCCGATCAAATCCAAAATTCAGTTCTTTGTTCTGTTTCTTCTGTAGATCTCTGCAATTTTGCTTTGAACCATGAAAGAAGAATGGTTCTGTTTCCTCTTTGCTGTCAAATATCAGCACATTTTCATCTACCACTTGTATGATAGACCTAAAATTGCAATAATTATTGTTTTAAAACACACTATAAGCATAGTCTGAGGCATGTGATAATGTTAATTCTATTAATTAGGCTATGTAAATAAATTCTTTAGATAAACCACTATGAATGTGCTTATCATCATATTAGCGTGCAAAATTTCTATTACATGTATGAATCAAACCTCCACAGTAATTACCTTGTTAAAGATGTCATTTTAACATGGTATGTTAGAAGATATCTCCTTGAATTTAATCTTTATTAAAATCACATGGCCTAATCAACTCCACTTCCTAGATGCTTACAGCTTATGCATTAATATTTAATAACATTTTGGTAGCAAATGTTTCAAGGTGAGTACATTAATGGGGAGGATATATCCCTACTTTTCAATTGTATTCAAGAAGTAAAGTTGCACGAGCCAAAATTAGGCTACTACATTATTTTATTTCCAAATCTACATTTTATGATGCATGTTTTCACTTATTTATTGACAGAGTTCTCTATACCAGCGTTCACATTTTTTCACCTGAAGCACACCCTAATATGTCAAAGACACAAGTCGGCATGCCATAAAATTTTCCCCCATGAAAAGCGATACAAAACTATCCATAACCATAAATATATATCTACACAAAAATCCTTATCATGTAAGAACGCAGGCATATGAAAACAAATCATATGACATGTTAAATAAAATATCAACGATGAACCTGTCTCTTTGTGTGTGTGTGTGTGTGTGTGTGTGTGCGGGCGCACGTGCATATGCACATGTATGTGGGCACGAGTGCATGCATTATGAATTCTTTTTTGAAAGACAAGATAAAGTACTTTTCTGGCTATAATGTGCAAATATACAATTTCTTATAAAAACTCACAGCACAAGTGAAACCATGATGTGGCACATTGCTCTGTACATAAGACTGTGTCCAACTAACACTGGGTTTTGCGACCCACAGTCTAATATAACTATCCATAATAATGCTGCACAGGTACACAAACATTATTCTTTTAGTAGAAACCCACTCTTCCCTTCCTTATTCCCATTTATGTCTTACTAATTTTGTTATTTTATTTAAATTTAGCTGTGGGTATGGGTATTCTCCAATATTATACATCATTTGTACATTTTATCTTTCTCCAACAATCTATTTTATCATTTATAATAAAGCAGATAATACCAAAAAAACCTGTTCCCTCTCCATAATTTTAACAAAAACAATTCCCCCCCCCTGTCTAGTTAGAGGGAAATCCCCTTACTCAAATTCTTTCTTCACTTCTCAGTAATGTTGAGGATTTGCAGGAAAAAAGGATATTTTAACATTATTGCTCTCTCCAGTTCCCACCATTATTTAGTTAAGGAATCTTAGTATAATGTACAAACTCCAACATCAATGGTATTAGAATTCAGGTGCAAGTCTTAGTGTAAAACTGTAAGTATGATGGTAAACCTACCTAGTATTATTCTCTATTTCCTTTGGATTCTGTGGACGTATCCTGACATAAACTCTCATGCTCGAAGATGTCTCATTTACAGAATTCCCTCCTTTATGTGACTTGTTTAAGCTTCTCCTTCCTCCTGATTTGCGATGTTTAATGGGCGAAAACGCCCTTTCCAAATCTCGTTTGTTTAGTACCATTTTCATGAAGTTATCTGAAACAACAGAATAGAAATTTAATGAAATGGTTTCACACACTCAACTTATGTTAACCCCATGAATATTGAATAGATGACAAGAGTAATGCTTCCACCTGTTCAGAATACTGTGGAATCTGCGAACCAATTCTTTTTCTCACTTCAGCATATGCCAAGAAGAATAGGTACATGCATTTTGACAAATATTCCTTAAAAATTAGTGAAGCCATTTAAATGGTTAATTTCATACTTAAATGGGAATAAGTCTTAGCATAATACTAAAGAAGATTGTGTTTAAACTATTTCAGGTACTAATCTCAACTGAATGTAACCTCAGTTGAATGTACAAAAGGAATTCACCATTCGAATTTCACAACCCATTCTTTTCTCGTGCACTCAAAACAGGACAGAAACTTTGTTTTAATAATTATAATCCATTCATTCGCATTCCACAAAATCCTAATCACAAAAGTAATAAAATCGAATAATGCAGTAATTAAGTTAGAAGCTTGTATGCTGCGATCACAACATTAGAAAAATTACCATTTGTCAGGGTTAGATCTCACGAAAGTGTATGATAAGTAAAATCTTAACAATGTCCTTGGATTTACAAATTCCTTAAACTATTTACTATACACTCTCACAGTGGAACACGTAAATCAAATAAACAGCAGCAAAAATGCACGCCGACCATTATCCACTCATCAACAAACTCACAACCGGTTTCAGTTTAAATCTAATTTCTCTGCACATCCACTACGAGGCGCAACAATAGCATGCCAAAGAAGACAAAATAATGGAGCCAGAAAGTGGACCACAGTGCCTTCAGGAACATTTATATGAGATTCTGATGTATCGATTTCCTGCACAAGATGGCGCGCACAATAACTATTGTATGCTAACTTGATCATTTTGTATTGAAATATTCCTAGCTACTGTATGGTGCATCTATAACAGGAAAGATTGACATATACAAATTAATAAGATTTCAAGTTATGGTAGTATTATAAGCTCGCATCTAAAGACCATCACTTTCATGGACTGATCTTATCAGATTGTTCCGAAGCCAAGGTTCGTATTCATGATTTGGCTGTTAATATTCCGTTAACACATCAGTGGAGAAAACCTTAAAGGGAATACTCTTTTTTTTGTTTATTTGTTTAAATCTTGTCAGTCTAATCACAATAAAATTCCTATTAAAAATATTAAAATATTACCATAATTAACATTTAAATATTTAAAATATATTAAATGATATTCTCTATCGAAATATTCGATTTACATTAGAACATCACTTTTTTACACGACATGTTTCAGTTCTATAAGAACCATCTTCAGGTGTTTAATAGGAATTTTATTGTGATTAGACTGACAAGATTTAAACAAATATATATTTTCACAATATAACGCAACTTTATCATCTCAGGAATACTCTTACTAATTCCAATCTCTAATTTTTTGTTCCAATGTTTTACTATACTGATATTAAGCTATTCAATAATCTTCCCCCACTGTAAAAAGTGTGAATCACGAATAAAGAAATTTAAGCCAGCATTAAAAGAGAACCTCCTATCTCACTCCTACTCCATGAGAGAATTTAACTCACCAAAAAAATGCTCAACTATTAAAAATACGTGTAAGCAATAATAGTATTGCTGAGTAGGATTTGAGGTTTTCGCGGCAGAGTCCGATAATGGCTGACTTCTGGGTTGTATCGCAGTATAATCTAAATTACCGACGTTTCAGAGGTACTCTTATGGCGCTACAACCCAGAAGACGGCCATTTTCTGTAATTATGCTTTCTTGTGATATTATTTTTGCGATTATCGTGTAGTTGATTGTAAATTACTGTCATAATTATGTAGTTTATACCTGTATTAAAAAGATGTAATATTTAACAGTACAGCCTTTAGGGGCAATTTAGATTATTGTAAATGCGTTATTATTAATAACAAATTATTTTACTGTGTTAATTACAAAAGTTGATATAGGATACACATAATTTTGTCCTATATACCCACCACATAGCCACGGTGGTCTAGCGGTTAGAACGCTGGCCTTGTAATCCTGGGGTCTCGGGTTCGATTCCCGGCGGTGCCCGAATTTTTATAACTTGTGTTGGGCAAGGCCGTGGTCTAGGCAACACGGAGTTTTCCTCCGTGGCATCCCAACAATTACTCCATTCACACACAGAAGAAGGCAATGGCAAACCACTTCTGGATCATCTGCCAAGAACGTATATGAACAGGTCCCAGTCCGAGAAAAGGATGGAAGGATCCTGTTCATATGGACCTGTCGTCAGACAGAACACTAAATAATAATAATAATAATACCCACCACAGAGGGTTTAACGCGTACAGCTGGCTTCATAATTCCAGACATTCGTAATTTGTCCGCAAGTGGCTTCTCTCTGCCTTCCATTAATTAAAATTACTTATGTATGCCCCTAATCCGTAATTTGAAGAATAACAGTATTGTTTTGTGACATTTCCGAGACGAGGGTCTAGAAACGAACGTAATGTATATCCACTGATTGGCAAGACACTGGCGTTAATGTGAATATCATATTCACAGGCTCAAGGCCTCATGTCGGCATGTTTTTAATTGGTCTTTGCAGTTGTATATCTTTCAACTCCATGTTTTAAAGTTTTAGTGTGCAACTCCTGCAAATGGATAATGAAATATGTAGCTTGTGATATTCGAAAGTGAACACTGAATTATTTTTTTTTGTAAATCACACGCATCCACTAACCTTTTCGTTAACAAACAAAAAGTAACCGTTAATATTATAATTCACACCGCCCCTGGCATTTGACAGCCTAGAAAGGCAGGGGAAACCGGTGTGCCATTGATTTTTCAGTAATATATATTTTTAATTAATTAATCTTGTCCGTATAATCACAATTTAAAATTTAGATAGTTAAAATACCATGTGATGCTCCTTATCGAAACATTCGATTTACATTTGGAACATAACTATCTTAATTTTAAATTTTAAATTGTGATTAGACGGACAAGATTAATTAATTAAATATATTTTCACAATATGACGCAACTCTTATCAGCTTATTAATATATATTTTGATTCAAAGTTTCATTGTTCGAATCTGAATAGACAAAAATATCTACGAGCCTGTGCTACGTCACAGTAGAAGGGGATGGGAAGATGGAATGGGCAAGACGTATTTT